ACTTTTCGTTCGCCCTAAGGTGGAGGCGTTTAGCCGTACGGCGGCCTTCGTTGAACTCAAAGTGGTCTCCCCCTCTCAGAAAAATGAGCTACGAGTCGGAATAGTTGAGATCTGGCAGACTTGGAGGTGCTCCTCTTTCCTACGAGCTAATCGGTTGGTCTCTGTTTGGTTTGACCCTAGGATAAGCTCTAAGGCTCTGGTGGCTCGCCGTTAGTACGGCCTCCTCGTGTTAGAGGACGACGGCGATGAAACCAGAAAATGCTAGAAAGTCATCGGGGCTGGGGCTAGGGTTCTGATGGAAAAGATTGAAGGCGGTGGCGGCGGATTTAGCTTCTAGGGATGGCGGTTCCCTGAGCTTGTTTCTCGTCGGTCCGTACTGATCTCTTCCCAGCCGTAAGGATTGGAGCAGCACGCACTACCTCGTACATGTTGGGTAGCGATTCTGCTACAGATGGTGGTGGCTAGGGTTTTGGATTTGATCTTGGAACCGACGCTTTATGGCCACGGGACGCTCAGCTGGAGCCTGGAGGCTTCGCTGATGGTGACTAGAGTCGGATCTTACCGGCATTGGACGCCTCAGCCGTGATGCTCCGGATATATATAAGCTTAAAGCAGTAAATGATTTTGATAACAAGATTACTATCATGTTTTGTTTGTTTGTTCATGAGGGTTTGTTAGTTTGGCGAAGAGAGGAATAATGGAACTTGACCACGATGATGAGGAGATGTTGGAAGAAAGTCAGGTCAATGGAACAACATGTTGGTTTTACGGATATAAATTTTTATGTTTTATGTTTAGCTGTATAAAATATCTTTCCAATGGTTAATAATTAATTTGGCAGCTAAAACACTAGATGTGTAGCTATCATTATAACAATAATAAATTGGTAACATGCTAAAAAGTTATTTAGCGAGGTGGCTATTTGACTTATACGGTGAGATTATCTTCTTAACGAGTGGTTCTACATTGTTAACGAGTTAACTTTAACTTTTAGCAAATTAAATTTAAATTGGCTGGATAAACGGGAATATGTTGTTGAATTAATGCTATCAAATACTAAAACAACCAAACTAATACATAATTCCGAACTAGTTATCATACACACAACTTTGTAAAAACATCAAATGGTTACGTTGTTATCCTATTGTGATCTTACAACACAACAATACTACAAGCTGAACTATTAGACTTAGACACAGAGATTATCCTCTTAATGAGTGGCTTTAGGTAACCAATTGAAAACGATTGATTGAAGGAGACCGAACGAAAACATGTGCGATATTATTAACAAAGCCAAACTTTTTAAAATATAATGTTCACATAAGGATATTAGTATATTTGTTAGCAGAAGCCTCCAAAGTTGTAATTAGGATATTATAGTATTTATGGGGTCGTACATGTGATAATCAAGATGGAGGTTTATTATTGGCTAAATAATAGATTATACGTCAATATTTAGTTTTAAAATATTTTACATTAGATTAGACGGATAACTTAATTCTTATACATAATTAAACATTTGTTAGCCGTCTAACAATAAATTTGAATGAATGATCAAAATAAATAAATTTTATTTATAATTAGATATGCCGGATAATTATATTGTTATATGTTATTAAATAGGTTAGCCATATACAATTAATCTTAAAGCTTAATTCAAAGAAGATTAGAACCATGTGTTATTTTTGGTTTGTTACTATGCATCAAGAAAATTATTGTAGCTGTCTAACACAATTGACACTACAATTTCTCTGTTTATAATTTCTGTAAATGAAAATGATAACAGTCTATGTATTGTGTTTGTCAAGTGGTCTTAGCATATACTAAAAACTAGGTGACCGGCCCGCACCCTGTGCATAAGTATGAAAAATTAGAAGTAACGGACGGTACATCATCATACTACCATGTTTTGGAGAAACCCTACACCATGGAGAAAAGCCGGTACTCAATATTTGACATTATATGAGAGGGTATAAAATAACGCACATGGTGCGAGCAGTTATTGTGTGTATGTATAATTGCAAACTCTCAAAATAATTAGTGTGTTTTACGAAAATATTTTCATTCATCATCTAATGGATTTGCTAAGACTTCTTATAAATAGTGTACAGTTTTAGAAGTAACAAATTTTATATTATCCTTTGTAATTAGAATTGTATTGTATATATGTGGTAACTATTACTTTCATTTACTCCATTCTTTGAAGTCTTCACCTTTTAATAAAAGTTAACTATTACTTTTATTTAGTCCATTCTTTGAAGTCTTCCACGACTCAGTAAAAAACAAATATTTCTCAATGAGGGAACATGTTACTCAACAATACAACATTAAATCAGACAAGCATTACTTATTTTTGCCTCTCAAATCCAGAAGGGTACTATAATGAATGTTACTCTAGAAATAGAATAATTTATTTTTGGGAAAATCGCATAAAAAACATTCAAGGTGGCAACCACTTACACTTTATTCTCTGAGAGTATTTTATAAACACTTTAAACACTCAAGTTGGCAACTTTAGCATATTAAACCTCTAATCTGGCTTACTTATACATCAAGTTAAAAATGTGACCGGTACTGTTCAAAATCGATGACGTGTCGGTTTGTGTTTTTTAAAAAAAAAAAATTATTTTACTGATAAATAAATATAAAAATACAGAAAATATAAAAATTCATTAAAAATCATTAAAAATTGAAAAAATCATTAAAAAATCATAAAAAATCATAAACATTAAAAAATCACAAAATAATTAAAATATTTTATTAATAAAATATTAAAAATAAGAAAAATTTAAAAGAAATTATAAAAAAATCCCAAAATAAGAAAATTCACAAAATTTTAAATAAAATAAAAAGGAAATTTAAATAAAATTAATAGATAAAATAAATATAAATTCAAGAATAAATAATTTCATTTGTTTTATAAAAAATGAGAAAACACTATATATTTTTTAAAAAATAATCATTATCTTCAAATGATTCTCGTGAACCAAATCAAAGCAAAAAAATTAAATTCCAAGTCATCGTATAAATTAAATGTATATGATATATATCATCAACTGATTCTCGTGAACCAAATCAAAGGAAACAAGTTAAAATCAAAGTCTTTTAGCAGTTATTAAAATACCATATATTAATCTAGTATAATATAGTATAATACTGAAACAAGAGTATCTATTGAGTTTAAATGTGGGAGTTAGTGGAACAAGTGAGAGTTTCAATGCTGAGACAAGATTTCCACAAATCTCTAGGATGCAGTAAGCGTGGGCAAATCGTAACTTTTTCGGTTTGGTTTGTTTAGTTCGGTTTTAATATATTTTTTTCAACTGAAATAAACCTTATTTAGTCTTATTCGGTGTGGTTTATGCCCAGTTCAAGTTATATTAAGTTCGGTTTGTTTTTGGATCGGTTTAGTTAGGCTCTCTGTCGCTTAATTTTTTAAAAGAAAAATTATGTTTTAAAATATATACACATAAAGTATGTGAACTAATTCAATATTAAACTGAAACAAAAACTAAAAAAGTCACAAAAGTATATAAGAATAAAACAAATGAAATTTAACTAAAGTAAAAAAAATTAACATCATTAGTATGTTTTTAATAAAAGTTAACTATTAAAAAAATGTAAGAAAAATATACAGGAGACAGTGACATATTAAAAAATGTGATAAAAATCTCATAGATATCACAATCACATAGAAAATGTGATAAAAGTTTAAATATAATTCATAAGTAATATAAAATAAGAAGAACAATTATGAATTAACAATATGGTTATCTTATTATGTGTGATTTGTAATGGAGATGTAAGTTTTCTTGAACGTAGTTGCACGGAAGATGGATACGTTTTGACTCTTGACTTGTAAAACGGAGTGTCAAGTGGGATGATGAGTTGATTTTAGTGATGTGAAGCTTCTAAATTCTAATCTTGGATGTTGATTGCAAAGGCCGGTTTTTAGGATAGCCTAAAGAAACATCCGGTATTAACTTCCAAATTTTAAGTACTTAATATGTATAGATCATCCGGTTACCAAAGTAACCAAACCATCTAAATCATATATGTGAAAATCATCTGTAATTGTTATAAATTTCTTAAATCTCAGGATCGGTTGTTAGTTGGTTGGGTTTATTTGTGTTTATTTTTTATTTAATTTAAAAGGAGGAATATGTGTTACCATATATGTAAAATAAAAACCAGTTTATAGTATGTCCTAAGTTGCAACGGACTCATGTAAAGATTGTCCGGAAGACCCGTTTGGTGTTTGGCTATTGACTTAGAAAACGAGAAGAAAGTGGAAAGAGTTGATTTTAGTGCGTGAAGCTTCTAACTTCTTGGCTTTGATGATTACTTAGCAGAATGAAATGAGTAATTTCCAATTGTTCCCTTTTTTCTTCTTAATGAAAAGTAAAACTCATTTTGATATACCTTTCTAGATAGAAAAATGAAGGAAAAATTGTTTTCCATTCTTGAGTTAAAAAGAAAGAAAAAGATTATTAACAACAAAATACAACTTTTAATACAGTTGTGATTTTGAGATCCTATGTTTGGAGATCTATATCTTTTTCTTTAACTTTTCGTTCTTCACCTTGTATGATGTGACAAACGATGACATAAGAATTAATCTAATGTTCTCAACCATGGTCGTTGGGGTTTACAGTTTTATCTTGGCTTATAATTATCCAGTCCAAATCCGATTCAACATGCTATACGTCACAAGTCAAACGACCCAAGTCGTAAAAGAAAAAAAAATACGGTAACAGGCCAATATAGAAATCGATGTGCGTGCATACCAAACTATCTCAAAAAACAGAAATTATTATTAATTTTTATAATTCGAAAAGATACACAATGGGAATACATTCCACGATTGATGATGATAGTACATCAATTTTATTTATTACAAATACGAAAGCGTTCATGATTTACCTCACATTAATGAAAACACCAATTTATTATTATAACACATGCAAATAGACTTATGCAAAGATCATCATATTGACCCTTTAGTTGACGCCATTGACGTTTTTGCGTGGAGCTCCACTTTCAGTAAAATAGCGTTCACAGAAGCTCTTCAATCTTTCAAATGCTTCCTCAAGTGTTTGCGTGTCCATGTCGATAGAGTGCCTCAACCAGTTCTTCTGACTAAATGCAATTCCTAACCAATCCAACACACATTTTGTATTGTCAAAACATGCAATTTTTTTATTATATATATTATGCAAAGGGATTTGAAAATTTTTGCACCTGGCAAAACGACGAGATTTTCTTCCACAGCAAGCTTCCTGCAGAAGTCTTGATCGTCTTCAATGTCAGCAAAGCACGAGATGTCCAGCTTGGTCTGCGTAATAATGATCAATGTCAAGATTGTTGACATCTCAAAATAAAATAAGATAAATACTGTGTTAAAAATGTAGTAAATAATAATAGAATACCCATAAAAAGGTGCACGCTTCGGGTTTCATGTAACAAGTGAGGCCAGGTATGTGCTTGACCTTAGAATATCCAATTTCTACTTTATGTTTCAGATAATTTCCCCTCTCAACGAAGAAATAATTTGGAGTTCCCTCCAAAATGTCAGACATAGCTGCCTATATATATGCATTAACATTAAATAAAATACCGCATAGTTAAATATTTTGTTTACTCTTACAATAAGAGTAAGAGAATAACCCAAATTTACCGACATCGATCGAACGTTCTTACCTGAATAATTGTCGGAGGTTTAGCATTTATCTGCATAAAGTCATTGGCAGCTTGTACTATCTGTCCACATATAACAAAAGGGTTAGGTCAAAAATTAAGGTTAAAGGCAAAAATATAAAGCTTTAGTTATCAAATATTATAGTGTATCAAAACTTAATATATATGTATAATGATGTGTTTATTGGTATGAAATAGTTCTAAAATGGATGGACCTTAGTGTTTTTGAAGACACCATCTAGATCGTGCAGTGCAACCCAGCCAGTTCGCCATCCTGGGACCGTCCACCCCTTAGATAAGGATCCTAGTGTAACCACTGGTACAATGGAAGAGAACTTCCCCATCGGAACAAAAGGGTTATTCCCGAAGACGGTCCATCTAAAAACTTCATCAGAGACCACCATTATCGAGAGTTCCTTAGCCAACTCAGCGAGCTGAGGTTCAACAGTTACACAAGAAACAAGTTAGATGACAACTTTACATTTATTATCAAAAGAAATGTGAAAATGTTTCAGTAGTTTAGTAGTTATATAAGACTAAAGAGAGACTCTATATTTATAAGTACCTGTTTGAGATGAGCCTCAGAGTAGGTGTTTCCATTGGGATTGTGAGGGTTGATTATAAATATCGCAAAAGTGTTTTTGTCTGTCACCTTTTTGACACTTTCGAAGTCGATCTCAAAGTTCTTTTCAGGGATGAAATCATAGTAACGGACCTCAAGGTTCTTGTAGATGGAGCGGACTATATCCCATGGGAAGCCCGGCCTCGGAAGCAAAACGTTGGCTTTTGGTTTAGCCAAAATATCCACCGCAAGGTCAATTGCTCGTTTGCATCCAACAGTCATATACACGTCATCTGGTGTTAGTAAAATGACACTGCATCCAGATTTGGCCAGCAAAATCAACTCAACCACACAAACTTTCTCTCTACGCCTGCAAGAAACAAGCAACAAGAACACAGAAGACAACAATTACAACTTGCACAAATATACGGGAAAAATAAAAACATAATAAATCACGGTTTTGGGGACATTTATACCTTGCCGGCGATGTTGTTAGACAACCAGTCAAGACCTTCATAAAGTCCCTCGCCTAAAGTGGCACATGTGTTCTGGATGTACCTGAAGAGAGAGAGAGGGTTCCATATACATATAAAATTATAAATACATCATAATCAAGAAAACAATTAAGGAATGAAGCCCTTCATATTGCTTCCAAAGATTAACATCCGATCTATTGCTACATCAAGAACCCTAACTTAGAAATTAAAAAAGACAGACATTTTTGATTAATCTTTGGAAGAAGGAGAAGCTGTAACGAAGATTTTGATGAATGTCTGAGATTCAAAGAAGGGACATCGTATATATATTGTCAAGCTTTCCTAATGGTATGAGATTGACATATTTGGCATTAAATTTCCAACTTCTCACACAAGTTATCGAATATAAGGTAAGGAAAGTAAATATCCTACATTAAATTTTAGAGATACGATTCTCATATATAAATCCTAACACTTGCACGCCAAACAAAAAATAAATTAAAAAGAAAACTAAATTTAATCAACCAATTAGATTCTCAGAATTCCTCTGAGAAGGCATGTATGAGTGCCATGTGTCCAAGTGACTTCTCTTTTAATGTATAGGGGGATAATATCTGGCTAAAATCTGTATTATCTTGAAAAATATGAAAATATTCATCCAACAAAAGCTATCATTATCAAAATAATTAATTTCGTGAGCTTCTTTTTTGTCACGGTACTTTGTCTGCAAAAAATGAACCAGTGTGAAACATGATAGAATGTCAAACAAGGAAATTACATTACGTAAACCACAAAATCTAATGGAAAAATCAAACCTTCTGAAAAACACTAGCAAATGCTTGATAATTTTTGTTTGGTAGCGAAGAGACTACATCAGATCCTGCAAAAACATACCAAGACACAAGCCACAGTCACTTGGCAAAATAATTGTAGATCATTCTGGAGAATAAATTTAACTAGATGGTTAATCTTCTACCTATTTTCACGCTTCTTCCTACCTACGAATTTCCCAGTCAATGAATAGAGCCAAGCCCACACATCGAGGCAGCAATTGAAGAGTATGAATACATGCACCACTGTCAGCTTGAGGAAAAGGAAAGAAAATGAGGGGTTTTTTAACCAGGAAAATCTATTAAATCTGTTGCAGAGATTGAAGAGCTTGAATACATGCACCACTATCAGCTTGAGGAAGAGGAGAGAAAATGAGGGATTTTTTAACCAAAAAAATCTATTAAATCTGTTGCAGAGATTGAAGAGCTTGAATACACGCACCACTGTCAGCTTGAGGAAGAGGAGAGAAAATGAGAGGTTTTTTAACCAGGAAAATCTATTAAATCTGTTAAAAATCGATAATATGACACAATAATTAAAATGTATTAAACTGAGTATAAAGAAGAGAGAATTCAGATTTACAGAGACAAGAGTCTTAAAAAATTAAAACAGGTTTCGTAGAGGAAAGAGACAAGTTGGTTCGGAAGAGAGAGAGAGTGAATGAAAAAGATCTCGAAATTAATTAAAATAAAAAGGAAAAAGAGAGAAAAAAAAAAGAATTGATGTACAAAGACAACATGGTCATTGTCACTTAAAAAAATTGTGGGGACCATTCAAAATGTGTAAATAACTAATTACATGAAAGAGTTAGGGTATAGGATGCAAATACTCAAATATTAACCCTCTTTACTTCTGCTCAATGAAAATCAACATGTATGTAGGCGGAGGTATAGAGAAGCTGGTGGGGTCAGGTGACCCCAATAAAAAATGGAGAAAACAATTTTGGTGTATATTTTTAAAAAATAATTCTAATATTTAATTAAAATTTAGTATTTGACCCCACTAATTTGTGTATAATTTTTTATATGACTCTATTATTATTTTGATTTTTTTTTATAAAAATAATATTTTATATATATTAAATTTATATATTATGACCCCAATCAAAAATATTTTTGGCTCCGCCTGAGTTTCATTTTAAGTGACCCCTTCACTACCAACACCATATATACACTTCAAAAAAATGAGAAGTTACTCAAGAGAGAGCAAGCTAAGTACCTCGGGAGTGAGGATAAAAGAACGGTTGATAAAAGTTGACCAGGATCTAATCAAGTGAGCTCCAGCAAGACTACACAAAGAAAACTAATGTCAAAGATGGCAGAAAAAAAAAACAATACAATTCAACGAAACAACTATATTTTTTGATTTTTTTAATATTCATTTAATTTTTAACTTTAACTTTTCACTAATAATATTTTTTTTTTAAACTTGTCCCTAATAAAAAAAGACGTACGTTAAAATTGGTTCCGTTAACGATGTTCCGAGAGCGACATCGTATTATGGTCAGATTCGGGATGATGAAGTCACTCAACTGCGTAACGAGTTGGACTCGGCCCAATGTGCGTTCATAGCTCGTGTGGGTGGACTCGAGGGCTTCTTGTACGTTATAGCGGCCACAAATCTGGAATAGGAATCCTTGTTGAGGAACATGTGACGACAAAAGCCCATTCCAAGCGAGTCATCCGGCACACATGACGAGGCGGATGTAGAGAGGAGTCAGGAATTCTACCGGGCAATGAACGACTCTAGTTCTTTTCTTTTCGTTGGTTTTATTATAAATTCAAAACTTATTTATGTATAAAATATTTTCGTATTGGCTTTATTTTAAATTATATTTTAATTAATATTTTAAATTATTTTTTATTATATTTTTTCTGGAAAATAAAAATCAAAGTAAATTCGTAGGTAAATTATGATTACTTTACGTGGAAATTTTACAAGGAAGTAACGAGGAATAATTTAACGTCAACATTACGAGTATTTTATGCGGAACACTTTATGTGTAATTTACGAGGAATAGCTTTCGGGGTATATACGAGGAAATATAGGGTCCGCCTTACGTGGAAATGTTACGTGGCTTTTACGATGAATGCTTTACTTATTTTTTTTACAACTAAATTTGTTCTTCACTAGTTTACGACGAATTGTCAAGGAAATATACATTACGACGGACGATTAACGACGAAACCTGTTTCCTCGCTAATTCATTGTGAACCCCAGTTTACGACGAAATTACTACAAATTTCGCCGTCGTTAATGTTGTGTTTTCTTGTAGTGGATGAAGGAAAAGATGGAAACTGAATAGGAATACAAAGATAAAGCATTGCCGCTGCTGTAACAGATTGATAAAGGCTAAACTCTGTGTAGAAAAGTGACTACTACTTAGGGGCATATGCTGGCGATTTGAATATGCATTTGCCAATTTATTACCTTTACAATATTGTCTGCATAGTTCATTACCATTAAGAAAGCAATACCACTGCAATACAAGCATGAGAGTATTGTTTTAATGTGTTAACTACACATAAACTGAGATTATAAATTAAGAGAAGAATATGACCTCAAATTTTTAAAAGACATGAGCGTGAGGATCACCCACACCAAAGTTTTTTGCTAGTAACATTGTGGTGCAAAGCTTTCACCTCAAACATATCCAAGCGTAAACAAATAACCGCCAATGTGAGCAGAGATCAGTAAAAAAAATTTTATTTGGTATATTGGACTCTGAATCAAACCAAGACATGTGTGGATTTTGTTGTATGTCGCATACAATGTTAATTCAAGAAAACACTGCTACATCGTCTAAGCTCTGATAAATACAAAGCCGGATCCAGTAAATTAATTTAAGAGAATGAGGTTATAAGGTAGAGACTTTAGACAAACCAAAAATGAGATGGCATCCTTCATCAGCCGTTTGACTTGGCCACCGGCTATAAACCCGTGTCATGAAGATCAAGCTCCTCTTAAGCTTGAGAGTTAGTGATATCAGAGAAACGTCTCACCTTATTGCTACATGTAGATCTTTTCATTATCTGGAGACAACATAATATTCTGGAACCGTTGTGGTTGATTTCCAAGTTTTGTTTAGCCATGGTTGAAGTGGATTTTTGTTGGCAGTTCTATGGAGTAATAAAGAACCGATACAACAAAGGGAGATATATAGTGTGAAAAAGGGAAAATGAAGAGGTTGCTTTCCATCGGATTCATAAAAAAAAGAAGAGACGGCTCAGTAAGAAGGAAATAACATTGCTGGATAATGTAACGAAAATAGAACTTAAAACATAATTGAGTCGTTTAAAAATGAAAAGGCCAGTTTGGATCTTTAGTCGACAGAAGAAATGTTGACGTGGCAGATAAAAATGTCATGATTGGTTGATTTAGTTTGCTGACATAGACAGTTCTATTGTGGCTTATATTTTTGGCCTTTAGTCTTGTTAGATAAGTTGCTAAGCATCATGTAAACTTTAGAAAAATGTATGAATTTAACATGATTACGAAAAAAGACCTATATCTTATTTATTAAAATTGAATACATAATTTTATTTATGTGTAATTTTTTATTTGGATAATTAATTAAAAAGTTGATTAAATAAATTTTTGAAATTTAAAATTTAATATTTTTGAATTCTCTAAAATTACATATGAATAAGATGTTTTCATATTTTTAACTAAAACAAAAATTAAATATTTAAATTAATTTCAAAATTATTATTAAACTCATATACGATTTTGTATTATTTATGATATTAATTTAATATTATTTTTATTTAAATCTTTAATCATAACTGATAAGATTTATCAATATATAATTTTGTACCATATGACTGAAAATAAGATATCAATGTGAGCAATCAGTCTACCATTCATCTTTTGAAAGTGAAATCTGATTGTGTTCTGAAATATAGTGGGCGGCCTAATTTTGTATTTCAATAATAGGAGTATATGATCATAAATGTAATCACTTATTTTTATAGAGAAAAAAAATCACATATTTTTCATTATTGTAATTGTTTTTGTACCTATTGTATCTTGTGTAATTGTGAAAGTGTAATAGGTCTTGTACTAATTTATGTCATTAATATCAAGGGTGGATGGATGATTGACAAACTATTTCATGTAAACATGTCTATTTTCAGTATGTTTATTATCAAATGTAGTGGTAGGTATAAGTTTTAATTGTATACGTGATTTATGATAAATAAAAGATTGC